GGTTAAAAATGCCAATTTTTTATAAATCTTGCTCAAAGTCGGCTGACAATTACTGCGGGACCGATTAACATCCCTAAATTTAAGTCATAATATTTACTATCTAATAATTTTCGAAGACTTCCTTGTTTTGCACACTACATAACAATCATATAATTATCGTCATTTTGATCTTTAGTTATTCCATAAATTGAAATTGTTGTGTCACTCCCTCGTTTATGTTGATTTTCAACCTTAAATATTAATTAGGATAAATAAAACTATTATTATCTTAAATAATAATAAAACTTGCATAATGCTTACCTCTTTCAAAAATTCATTTATTGAATATGCGGATTTATGAAGACTTTTTAAACAGACTTCTATTTTCGGTTTTCTCTTCCATTCATTCTTCTCTTCATCAAATTCCATAATATATCCATCAGTCCATAGTGCCTTAAAAACAGCACCAAAACCTCCTTTAGAAAGATACTTTATATTTGTAAATTTATTAAAAGGAATCCATTCAATAATTCCGATAAGGTTTTTTGCTTCAAGTTGTGCTTGTTGAATAAAGTTATCAATAACGGAATTTCCACTCGTCCATTTATGAAATTCAGATTTAAATCTAATATTGTAAGAAGATTATTATACCGATTCTATTAAGAGCCACGATCCCAAAGTAACCAAATATAAATACCGTCTGATTGAATTAATAGTAATTAATTAATTACCAAGACTTCTCTTTAAAAAAAATTTCGATATAGTATACTTACTCACTAGTGTAGTATAGTATATTGTAGTGACGTATGAGTGTTAGTTAATGTTGTCATTTTTTGTGTTGGAATTATCGTGACTTCTGTTTAAAAAAACTTATTCAGATACAGTATACTTACGAACTATCGTAGCATAATGTATTGTAGTGACGTATGAGAGTTATTTAATGTTGTGTTATTCTTTTGTGTTGGAATTATCGTGACTTCTATTTAAAAAAATATTCTATACATATACTCACTCACTAGTGTAGTATAGTGTATTTGTAGTGACGTATAGTGATGGGACCTCCTGCATTATTAATAATTAATAATGAATTATTAACAAATGGTCGATTTATTAACTAAAAATTACTTAGTAATGTATGGCGCAGCAAATTGGGTATGGCGCAGCTAACCTGATTAGTACCGCGCGAATGAAAAATATTCCAATATTTTTTTTATATGATTCACAAATACATACGACTTTTGCCATGCACTAAATGCCATTTTATTAAATGAGAATATATAAAATTATAGTTTCGGAAGGTAGCTTTTTTTTTTTTTTTTTGCGTAATTAGCAAGACAAAAAATTAATTATATGTGCAAACACATTTATATTTTAACTTTTGGTAATAAGTATGAGCATTACGAGAATTTAATTGCCAGGTTAATAAACATACTATAGTATTCATTAATAGAATTGTAAGTGAAAAAAAAAATAGTTGTTACGATAAAATATACCTAAAATCAACGAACTGTATAAAAAGAAAGGTAATAACTGCTTATATCAAAGTCATCAATGAGATTAATGTATTAAACGACCAGGTTAATAACCTCTGTATTTGCAACCTGTAGAATATTATAAAAATCTTTATGAATTTAAATTATAGGATTAAATTTTATCTACGTACCTGTTCAATTTTCAGAACTTACTGGCTCAAATTAAATTCTTTCAAAATGTTGTTTGAAGCAATTTTTTCTGTAAAAAAAAAAATGTACCAATTTTTTTACTTTGAATAAAGCACGCACATACGCACTTTGGATATAACCCAATGAGTTGAAATTTATTTATTTACTATTAGTAATAAGTAACTAAATTTTATACATACGATTGACTAATATAAACATTTAATGATCTTTCAACAATCTTAGAATCAAATATATCCATGAGTGCTGGAATAGTTTCTTCGCTATCTAAGTCAAGTACATGAATATCATCTATTAATTTTTCAGAAATTTGATTTAAATTTACTATAAATTCGTCTACATCATCATTACCATCAATATAGTCATTGCTACTATCAATATAGTCATCATTATCTAAAATATTACTTTCTATTTCATTTAATTTTTGTGCTTTTTTTTCATTTTGTTTTGACGTTAGATTTATATACCAAGAGACCTGCGCCATTTTTGCAGCCCGTATTGGTGATAACCTGTTACGACGTTCTGTATGTATATTACCTAATAAAGACCATACTCGTTCGGAAGTTGCTGAATTAGGTGGAATTGATAAAAGACGGCATGCAAATTCACTTAAATTTGGAGCCACATTTAACATAGTGCGCCAATATCTTAATGGAAATCTTGTAAAACTTGGATTTTTGATAGAAGATGCAGAAAACGGACCCTCGTGATTTGAGTAATTTAACCATTCATCAATAAATTTGTCTTGATTATAATCCGGATAAAAAGTACAAAATAAGCCGTATGCAGCTTCTTGAATGTATAGAAGCCATGTTGGATTTAATCCTTCACCGTGATGATATGGATGAAGAAACCAGGTAATTAAATAAACTGGATTGAATATTTTTTGCCAACGATTATCAATTTCTATAATTAAAGAATCCTGAAAATCATTATTAGTAAATGTACTTTTGTTAATAACTCCACGAAGCCATGCCCATGATGCAGCCACCTGACCCAATGTTGCTTTTTCTGTTTCAAGAATTTTTATGACATAATCGTATGGTTTTAACAACTCATAAAACAATTCAAGTTTTAACCAGAATTCATTATCATTAATAATATTGCTTAGGGTGTTGCTTTCTTGTGAATGCGATATTAAATAGGATGTATGAATAAGTGCAATAACCTAAAAACAAATATATTATGTATATATTAATTGAATGAGGCCACACATATATTATAATATTTTAAATTATATATACATATACGTACTTTTAAATTTGTTTTAATTTCTAATATATTTTCTGCTGATTTTGTAAATGTCGTCCAACGGGTAATGCATGGATATTGAGGTTTTAATGTTGCATTACCAGCCAATTCTCTTAATTTAGATAATGCGCGATTGGAATTCCGAAAATGATTAATAATTACTAGCATTTTTTTAATAACTGGTGTGAAAAATATTGATTCGACTATTTTTTTGACTAATAAGTTGGTTTGATGTGCCATACACGGGATTGTTAAAACTTTGCCACCTATATCACGATCCTAAATACGTACAAATAATATATAAATGAGTATTAATTTATAAAATATATAAAAATTTATAATTAAAATATTTACTTCACGTATAAGGCGTTGTGCCTTTTTGAAATCGGGCCCACTATCTGAAATAAATGCTATCCACTTATTTAAACCAAGACTCATTCCAATTTCTTTATATATAGCAAATATATTGCTACCCGTATGACGTTGATCAGAATAATTGTCGATTTTTAAAATTTGACTTTCGTGTTTTTCATTTGTAATGATAAAATTTAACATACTATTTTTTGATACGTTAGTCCAACCATCACCAGACAGTGTTAAAAACATCGAATCTGCTATAAAATTTTGAATGCCACATTGAACATTTTCATGTATATTATCTAAAACGTCTGTACTTATCCATTTACGAGATGGAAGTTTATACTCGGGTCTTAACATATGAAATAGTTTAGCTACTTCAGGATCTTCTACAAATGATAATGGTGCATTGGCCGAAATTATAGCTTTGAGTAATTGACGATTAATAGATGCACTTTCTCCAATTCACAAAGCTGAAGTATGTTCGGTTTTTGACTTATTATTTGTATTCGTGTTATGATCATCGTCTTGAGATAATAAATTTTTTTTTTCTAAATTTTTAGTATCAGTATTTTTTAAGATATCTTCAATATTGTCACGCTCATCTTGATGAATGTCTTCACATTTTTCTAATAAATGTTTAGCCATTTTCGAAGGTTCTCCGGGACAGTTCTGTTTACAAAAATTGCATCATGCTAAATAATGTGAACTGTTTATCTTTTCACCTTCGCTAAACCATTGCCAAATTGGTTTTTTTTTTCTTCCAAATTTACGTTGAGGAGACATTTGAACACAAGAAATTCAAAAAATTTTTAAACCTGATGTTATATTTACTAATGTTTATTAATTTTTCGTAAACAATTAAAACAAAAACTGTTATAATCTCGAGAAAATAGAATTTTACAAGTCTGCTCATATTAGGCTAGCATTTGATTAATTTTTTCCGGGAATTTGTTTGTCAAGATTGTTTGACAGGATGGTTTGTCGGGATTTTGTCCCAAACAATTACATATATATGCAGTTATTAAAATGCTTGCATAGCCATTTTTAACAATTACCGAAATTACTAATTATTATTAACTATTATTAACTAATTACTAATTGTTTTATTATTAACTAGCAACTCGATAGTCCCATCACTAGTGACGTATGAGTGTTAGTTAATGTTGTGTGGAATCCATTTAAAAAAAAAACTTATTCGGATGCAGTATACTTACGATCTATCGTAGCATAATGTATTGTAATGACGTACAGTATGAGAATTATTTAATGTTGTGTTATTCTTTTGTGTTGGAATTATCATGACTTTTGTTTAAAAAAATATTCTATACATAACTTACTTACTAGTGCAGCACAGTGTATTGTAGTGATGTATGAGTGTTAGTTAATGTTTGTCATTTTTGCGTTGGAATTATCGTGACTTCTGTCTAAAAAGAAAAAATGTTCTGATATAGTATATTTACCGTCTAGTATAGTGTATTGTAGTGATGTATATAATTAGTTAATGTTATGTTTATTTTTGAGTTGGAGTTATCGTGACCTCTGTTTAAAAAGACTATTCATATATTCAGATACAGTATATTTACCGACTAGCATAGTATATTGTAGTGGCGTAAGTGAGAGTTAATTTTTGAATTAATTTTGGAATTATCAGGACTTCTGTTTAAAAAAAACTATATTTACCGTCTAGTATAGTGTATTGTATACGAATTAGTTAATGTTATGTTTATTTTTTGAGTTGGAATTATCGTGACTTTTGTTTAAAAAATATTTAATATAGTATACTTACGATCTAGCATAGTATATTGTAGTGACGAATGTAGGTTAATTAATGATTGGTGTTGGAATGAATTATCGTGATTTCTAATATATTCAGATACAATATACTTACTCACTAGTTTAGCATAGTGTATTGTAGTGACGAATGTGAGTCAATTTTTGTTGTTATTTTTTCTGTGTTGGAATTGTCGTAACTTCTGTTTAAAAAAAATAGTCTGATACAGTATACTTACGTACTAGCACAGTGTATTATATTGATGTAAGTGATTTAGTTGATGTGTTATTCTTTGTGTTGGAATTATAAATAGGAGAGACCGTTGATGTTACAAGACTGATCCTTCACCCGGAGTGCAACATATAAAAAATCTATTTTACAATATCGCTAGTACATGTTATGATTATAATCCAACACCATTTTTATTAGGAGTTGGATTATAATCATAACATGTACTTGCGTAATTTTTTTATATGTTGCACACCGGGTGAAGGATCAGTCGTGTAACATCAACGGTCTCTCCTGTTGGAATTATCTTTAAAAACATATATATTCCAATACAGTATACTTACTCACTAGCATAGAGTTTGTAGTGATGTGAGTTAATGTTGTGTTATTTTTTGTGTTGAAATTATCGTGATTTCTGTTTAAAAAAAATTTTGATACAGTATACTTACTCACTAGTGTAGCATAGCAGATAGCGTATTGTAGTGACGTATGTGAGTTAATTAATGTTGGAATTATCGTGACTTCTGCTTAAAAAATATGCTTTTACATGTTTTGATACAGTATACTTACAAGCTAGTGTAGTATAATATATTGTAGTGACGTATATTGTGATATTCTGCGTTAGAATTATCGTGACTTCTAAAAAACTCTAATACGTATACAATATTGGGCAAAAATTGTCGAATAACGGTAATTTGGCAAATGAGCACGTGCCGCTTTGCGGCACG